ATTTTAAATTTGTACAGTTTATCAACTGGACACACTGTTGGTGGTCAGTGTGCAAAGACTTGATTAGGAGACATAAAGTGAATCCTGGGAAGGTGCAGTCTCCTTTGTGGGTAAGTGCTATAAACACATAGATGTCTTTAATCAGTTGGTTGTTATTGTTCATGATACACTAATATTCTTTCAGAGAAAGATGGGGGATCTCCACCCACTCACATGTTCTAACCCCAAACAATAAGATTAGAAGAGTTCATTTGGGCAGACAAGGCATCCACTGAGTTCGGGACTCTGTCTCCAAGGTTAATCACAGAACAAGACCATGCATTTCTTCTCAGAGGCAAATTCCATAGGATTCCATAGGATTGACTCCCACCGAAGCACAATGAAGAAAAATCCTCCCCTAGAGTCAAGCCAAATAAACATTAGATGAAAGGTAGGGAGGTTTTACAGACATAGTTTTTATTAAAAGATATTTCTATTATAGCCCACTCCAAATAATTAGGATGGGTAACAAAACCCCCCACCAAAAGCTCCCCAAACAGACTGACACTTCAGCAAAGTCATTTGGATGCTTGATCTCATTTCCTGGCTTTACCAACCCTCAAAGTGCATCTCAAATTGGTAGACCATGCAAAGAAAGGCTTTTTCAGTCCATGGGCTAAATTTAGTTTCTGAGAAGCTCTTAGGTGCCTGAATTCCAGTAGGGGTGGGCTGGGCTGAAGACAAAACAGGAGAGGTAAAAAATATAATATTCCAGCATATATTAGATTACATTTTTTCCTTCTAGTAACAAAGAAAAGGAATTCCAACTTTTTAAAACAGTGGAAAATTGCACAAAAGGTGAGAAACCACCAATCCATCCATGGGTGGGGGCAAGGAGGAAATGGTGTGGGGTCACAGGAAAGAGGTGCAGCCATGTGGGGAACCCTAGAGGGCTGGATATGAACCTCTGGCTTGAGGTTCCTCACCCACAGTAAGATACTGCTTCTTACGGTTGACATCCCATGGTTGACATTTCCCCTGAGAGCTCTTAGCTGGGTTAAGAGCTAGTTTGCATATTGTGTAAGTATCTTTCCTCAGGTTTCCTAAACTGTAGCCATAGATTGTCTCACTAGCTACATGTCTCTTGCCCCTTGCATGGATTCTGGTCACTGTATTTTGAACAAATGCAGGGTAGGGACAAGGAAACATGCAATAGGGTGGCAAAAGATTCACATGAGGAAAGCTGCAAAGCAACATGCCATGGGAAGGTGGCTTCCTGTGGCAAATTTAATGCAAAACTCCCCTCTCTCCTGTCTAGTGAGATCTCATGTTTGGTATTAGCTGCTTTTGAAAAATAGAATTTTGTAGGAGTGGTTACAGAGTATAGTGAAGCGTCTAACGCAACGGTGAACTGATAGGCAGAAATGCTTTTAAGAAGCTGCTTTTCTGCCCTGGTTTGGACTAAATGCATTACTTTATTAATGTAGAAAACACAGCAGTTCATTGAAAGCCAGTGTGGTATACTGATTAGAGCACTGGGCTGGGACCCAGGAGATCTGGGTTCTAGTTCCTACTGAATTGATGCAGTCACCGGCTCACATCCTAATGTATCTTACAGGATTGTTGCGAAGATAAAATGGAGAGAAGAAAGAAAATGCAAGGTGCCTTCGAGTCCGTGCAAGAGGGAAAAAGGTGGGATATAAATGTAATGATCAATGGAAATATAATTTGTTTTTATATTATAAATACATTCTATACCATCCAATAGCCAAAGTGCCCAGGATGGCTCACGAAAATTAAACCAAAAAATCTGACATTCTGAAAACATAATACAAAACCTTTAATATACAAAAATCTTTAAACAGTTTAGGGTGTAGTTGTGTGTATATTTAGATGGAAAAAGGCCCTAGAACTTCCAGTATTATATCCAGCCTATATGGATGGTAAATGCTGGGAGTTGTAAGAATTTTTTTTGTCTAAATCTACATAGGATTGCACCCTTAAACAGCTATAAATTATTAACAATAAAAATATCAGGACCTGATAAAACATTTGACATTAAAAATTCCATCACATGCTTCAGGCATCTGGGAGTAGAGAAAAGTCTTGATGTGACACTGAAATGATGAGAACATTAATGCCAGGCTGGCCTCAATGCAGAGTTTATTACATAATGGAGCCACCACAAAGAAGCCCTTTCTGTTGTTGCTATCCTTTGATCCTCACTCAGAGAATTACAAAATAGGGCCTCGATGTTGATCCTATGGTATAATTGACTGCAGTGTATAAAACAGACTATATACTTGCTACTCCATTTATTTACATGGCTACTTGAAAGGAGCAAGATTGGGATGATGATGATGATAATGATAATGATAATATGCCTGGGTTTGGTGGGGCATATCAAAGTACCAGTTATGATCCTGTTGGTACATTGTATCTCCTAGGTGCACTGAGGGCTTTCAAAACTGTAAATTTAGAAAGCAAGAAAAACACAAATTTGAATATAAATAACAGAGCTAAGTCAATAAAACACTGTATAATTTGTATATCACAGATAAAGAATACTGATATGCGTACTTGGTGAACTATCACTTCACATGTACCGTTATCCCAGAGAGATATCTGCTTAGAATGAAGTCCCACTGAGTGCAATATGGCTTACTCACAGCTTGCCTGCAATCCTTTGCAAACTCTACCATGGAGTCCTGTGAGAACCTAAGCAAGCAGCTTTAGATACAATCCCATTTGGGACTCCCTACTCCTACCAGGATCAGGGTCTCCTACTAATTCTGTCTTTCAAAATAGTATCATGTTGTTGTGTCTACCGACCACTTTTTGACTCAGCTTGCTTTCTTTATCAAAAATGGAAGCATTCAGCAGTACTCTGTAATGGGGTGGGCAGCTTAGAGGGCCACTGGCTTTGCTGGTGAGGACTGATGGAAATGGTAGGCCAAAACTTCTAGAGGGCCCGATCTCAAAGAACTGAAACACATACAGTATTCCTCTCTGGCTGTTCAGATATTACTGAAACCAATACTAGCGCAGCTAGCTTTTCACTGACAAGCTAGTCTCTCTTACTGTCCTTACCCACGGCTCTCAGAAGTGCAAAGTATGTCAGTCCTCTGTGGGGCACACCATTAACAAAATTAGTCTGGGGCATAGAATTCAGTGTGCCCACTATAACTTTCTGGTTGGTGTATTTAAAAAAAAATGTGGTTTCGGTTCTAGGAAGCATCACAGAATGTTAGAACCAGAAATTCTTTGGAGGTCATCTAATCCAGCCCCCTGCTCAGGGCAGGAATATTGGAACAAGAGTGTCCCTAATAGCTACCACTCAGCCTCTGTCAAAATAATACCAGCACTCTGTTCTGCGTTTGTGGTGCTTAGCGTTAGGAGATCCAACCTCACTCTCTTTCCACTTCCTGCAGGCAGAGTATGAGTGTGCTAAAATTCTCTTATTACAGAGAAACTTTCCCCTAACTGGGCGGCATATCAAAGCACTGTTTTGCTGATATGTCAAATGATACGTCATTAAGCTGTTTTGGCAGGAGCAGCATGACTAAATGTTTTACTTCATGATGTGCCCAATTGAGAACTTATTTCCAAATAAACATACTGAGGGTAGGCTTAATACCTTATATACATTCCCTGAATGAAAATATCTGCCTAGCTATTGGTATTCAGTTCCTTTCAGTAGGGTTTTAACTCAGGTTAAAGCATCTTCCTTGAACAGCTACAAACCAGAATGCTCAGTGTGCTTCGATCCTGCTGAAATCAGTGGGTGTTGGGAGTTTCACTGTGCCCTAAATTTGGTTTATTACAGTGTGATTTGGGTGCCTTTAGTTTTTTTGAGAATGTACACTATGTATGTAGTGTCATATACTTAAAATCCTGACCAGGATATAATTTTTTTAAAAAATATAATTTAATACATTATAATTTTGTAAATAATAATTTATACAAAAATTACAAGCTTTCAATGCAGTCAGTTAACTAACTGCTTAATTCTTTCTCATGTATTTGAAATATGCTTCTTTGAAAGCCCATCTCACCATATTGATGTTGATTATATCTAGATAAATTTAGATAATCTGGTAGATTTGCAGGGGGGGAGGAATTTCATTGTTTTAATGTTTCTGATATTTTAGGAACTGGGAAGCACCAGTGTGAGCTTGAAGTGTTTAACAAAAAAATGCTGACTTAAAGCACAACTTTTATGGAGTCTACTAAGAAGTAAGCCCAACTGTTTTTAATGGGAATTACTCCCAGGTAAGTTTGCATAGAATTGCAGCCTTAGTCAAAACAAAACAAAACCATAGGGAAAAAACACAATCAAAAGTGGGGCTCATGAGTTCTCTTGCAAAAGCTGCCCTTCATTCTTTCATTTTTCAGCTACTTGTTTGCAGTCTGCAAGTAGAAGTGAACACATGCTTGTGCAAATGAAAGCCAAAGAAAAGTCAAGCACCCTCCTCCTTCTTCCAGTGCCCTCCCCCCCCCAAAACCTGCTGACATGGCACACGTAGAAAACTTTTTACACCCCCAGAAATACTATTATTTCTTTGACAATGGAAGCAAGATAAACAAAGGGGGAATAATCGGAAACAACCAGCAGCACCAGGTAGTATAGCTGAGCTGTACCATCAGATGCACTGTCTATGTGTTCATAGTTCAATTGCCCCATTTTATCCTTATACACAGAAAACTAGCACAGGCAGGAGAGAGGCTGTGGTCCATTCCTGTCTCTTGACATGCTAATTCTTCATGTGTGGGTAGTGTGCTTATAGGGGAAGCAAACACCCTGCCTTCATTTTGGAGTAGCAGAGTTGAGGAAGAGCCAGACTGTATATTTCTTGAACTCCGCCCTGCCTGCCTCTCAGTGAGAGAGAAGTATGTGGCGAACCATATAGTAATAGGCCAGACCTCTTGAAGTCTGCCCTGGGCTGCTAGTCATAGCATTTCTCTAATGTGGCACTCTCCTCTTTGTGCTTTTCCTGACCCCATGACTGCATCCCTTATTTTCAGCCAGACAGCTCTTGGAGGTAATGGACCACAAAGAAATGGCCCCCATTCTTGGCCAGGTCGATCGGGAGGCGGCCTTGATGGTTGGGCAGGTCGAACCGAGCCCCACCTCCATGCAGCACCTGCAGGGTGTCCAGGAACCCTTCGCAGGCCACGTCGTGAGCCGGCAGGCAGCCGGTGGAGGGGTCTGGCCGGTTGGGGTCTGCTCCTCTCTGCAGCAGCAGTTCTGCCACTCTGGGGTTCCCCATCATCATGACCTGGAGGAAGGGGAATGAGAGAAGTCCAGTCATGATTCTGGGAAGTGCTTAGGCTGTCCTCTGTTGAGCTGCCCGCCAGAGTTGGGAAGAAGACAGGTCTCCAGAAATTTGGAAGCTTCTCCCCAGAAGTCCCACTCAGCGTGGCCCAGGGTCAGGAATGCTGGGAGTTGAAGCCCCAAACATCTTTTAGTCTAATTTAGGGCCACTGAAAGTGAAATGCCTCTTTTCCTTTCAGTCTTATTTATTTTTCAAGAGCAATTTAATTTGCCACAATTAATGCTGCAATTCTTTGCACACTAACTTGGGAGTAAACCATCAGAAAATAATGAGAGGTTCTTAAAGTCAAAAATGTATAATTAACCAAACAGTCAGGAATACACTGAACAGTCAGGAAAATACTGAACAGTCAGGAAAATACAACCACCACAGCTGGAGTGAATTTTCTGGGCACTGGGATGATCAGCCTCAATCGGTGAGAGTTCCAACAGTGGGTGCCAACTGCTGAGAAGCCTGGGCTCCTTGCAGACCTCTTGCTGCATGTTAATCTAAACAGGGCTTCTTCCCTAGATCTTAAACTATTACCACCACCACAGTAACAATAAACTGGAAGTCCAATTTTTATTTCAAATGAAATTCATGTGAGTTAAGCTGCAGTGCTGAAACATATACTTGCTGGGGAACTAGCCCAGTAAACCTAATGGGACTTCTCAGTTAATCATTTTTATTACATTGCATTTTTATTCTACTTTTCCTCTTGTGAGGAACCAAAGGCAGCTTATAAGATTCTCCTCCTCTCCTTGTTACCCCATAACAACAACCCTGTAAGGTGCATTAGGCTGAGAGTGAGTGAGGGGCCCAAAGTCTCCCTGTGAGCTTCATGGTTGTGTGGGAACTAGAACTTGGCTGTCCCAGGTTCTCAGCTCAACACTTTCTCCACCACACCAGCTTTCAACATATATGCACTGTTATTCAGATCACAGCCTGAGATAACAGGATCTACAAATACTCTGTATTTATTTATCTACATTTTTATTCTGTCTTTTCCTCTAAGGAACCCAAGGAGGTGTGCACAGTTCTCTTCCTATCTATTTTATCCTTATAGCTGACAGGCCCAAAGTCACCCAGTGAGCATCATGGCTCAGTGTGAGATCTGAACTTTGGCCTTCCCAGTTCCACATGCTAACTGTTGCAACCAGACTGTCCATTGATTATTAAGGCAAATGGGTTTGGTGGTTCTTAGCATTGGGAAGAAAACCTTCAAAGAGGCTGTGCTGGTAGCCCTCTTCAGTACCCTAAAATGGAGTGAGTCACTGTTGTGAGGCAGAGAGTTCTCTAATTAAGACCAGATCTGAGAGACATGCAGCTGGGGCTGCCTGTGTTTTTGTTCGGTGAGTTGGGTGGAAGGAAAAACAGATTGATGGGAAAGCCCAGCTACCAATTGGATGAACACGCAGCCAGTCTTATCAAACCCCAGTGTTGACATGTGATAGTATAAAAATGAATGGATGTTTACCAAAGGCCTGGGTGTACTCGCTATTTTCTACAGTCTCTTTAAACACAGGCTTGTTTGATCAAAGGGCTAAAGAACGGGATTACCTTGGGCTACACAGACCAAACCTGAACATGAACAAGAAGCTTGCCTTAGAGGGTGACTCTTCCTCTCTTAGGCTCATGTAAAGTTTGCAGCATGTTCTGCAGCCTAGCTAAGATGGAGTAGACCACAGCTTGTATTTTTGTTTATTTGCTGATGGCAAGGAAGAGCTACAGCCGAAACCTAGTGAAGAGTGTTCTTTGATTTTGAGCCCCTGACTTCCCAAGGGACACTGGACCAGTCAATTGCAACATCGTAAAATGGCCGATACACATTGGGAGTATTTTGTCTAAGGAGGAGCACTATAAATTGACATTGGAAGACAACTATTTCTTCTCGTTTCTGTTTGTTGAGAGAAGGAACAAATTAGATGCAAAGCCAGGATGGGAGTGTTTCCATGCTCCAGCACAGACTCTATTGGTTATATGTTTTATTGCTTGGATAGTTTTAATGTATTTGATTCTATTGATTGTTTTAATGCATTATGAGCCATCTGGAGATGCCTTGCATAGGGGACGGCATACGAAAGGTTTAAATAATAAAATAAAATAAAATAAAATATATAAAGTCATTTACTTTTGACAGGGAAAAAAATCCTACAACTTAACAGCTGGCTGAAGATGTTGGGCTTTTTTTTTTTTTGGCTATCAAAACATACATTGGATTGTGCCCTTCAACATTTAATGATAAAACTTTGTGCATGAAAAGAAAGTTTAGCAGGTCCAGGAATAAGATTCAGTACACATTTGCTAGGAAGCCCCATGGGGAAGGGTACTTACTCTAAGGAGGTGTGGCTCTCATTATGCACATTTCAGTGAAGGATAGTGGAAGTGGAGCTGGAGAAGAAAGTAAGCTTTCGATTCTAGCTGTGACTAGAAGGAAGCCATGTTCAGCTCAATCAGGTTTACATGCAGGGGAATGGCTGTAGGATTGTGGCTTGCAATCCTGTGTCCATTTGCCTGGAAGTAAGCCCCACTGAATTCAGCAGGGCTTCCTGCTGAGGAGGCATGGTTAGGGATGCACTGAAACTGAGAAATCAGAACTCACCAGGACAAGGGCAGGCAGGCTGCACTTTCTTAGCCTCCCTTGCTTTACAACTGTGCTGCTAGTATTTCAGCTTTATGATGAGCTGAGGAAATGTAAATAAACAGGAAAACTCCTAAGTCTTCCTGGTGCTCAAAATTCAGAATTGTAGATGAAGCATAGCAGAAACAGGCAGATAAATGCTTTGCAGCAGGCACTTGATGGTGGTAACTGAGTCCGAACACTCTTCCTACTCATCTTCTGGAAACTGACACATATATGGCTTCTCTAGCTTCAGTGCTGGAAGGATATTATCCATTCGTTCACATATGCATTCATCTATAATATTCATTGTACCTCACTTTTAAAATGACACCTATGGGGGGGGGGTGTCCTGTCGTTTAATGAAGAACCACTATTTACACTTTCTCCTCACAGATAAACCTCTGTCTCACAAATAAAAGGAAAGGCTTCTTCATGGTTAAACCACGGAATTCACTTCCACGAGATGCAACAATAACCATCACTTTTGGGCACTGGACACATTTCTGGGGAAGGCTACCAGTCGCCACCAGTCCTGATGGCCATCCATGGTATGCCTGTGCACAGGCGCTCCAGGAGCCATAAAACTTCCTGGTAAGTGTGTTTAAGTCTGCAAATTGTCTGCACTTAATTGCAGTTGCATTGAATGGGACATTTTGAGTAAACATACACAAGATTCCACTGAAAAATGCATTTCTTCCTCATGCAGTATGTGAATCTTTTATTCCAGAATAAGGACAGAAAAAGTAATGGCTAACATACAATGGCTGACAGTTGTGCTTTTTCTGTTCTGTTCTGTAGTACCTTTGGGCATGTAATGTAGAGACCTTGTCTGCACATAACAATATGGATTACAAATTGAGTATGGATTGCAATTAAATCTTGGGCTGTTCTTATGAGCAAATACTGCAGTATAGTTTAAAAATAGGTGATTTATTATGAACAATTAAGGAAGAAATTCCAGTTCTTGGGTTATAAACTCTGGATCCATTGTGATGCACAGTGGATCCTTAAACCATCAGGCAGAATTTATAAATAATGGCAACCCATGATTCAGCAAAAAGCCAACGCAACCTCCACTCAAGTTGTCATTAGGTGTATATATATTTTCAAGAAAATATGATTGTCGAAAAGTTATGCCGTTGCAACCCCATGGACAATATTCCTCCAGGTTCTCTTGTCCTCCACCATGCCCCAGTACACGCAGCCCACACCCACCTCTCCAGCGACCCCATCCAACCATCTCAGCCTCTGCCGTCCCCTTCTCTTTTTGCCTTCAATTGTTCCCAGCATCTCAAGGAAATAAAATACCACCAAAAGAAATTGGAGCCACTTTCCTCTGTTAGGGTACCTTGAAATGTTCCTAACTTTGGAAGTAGCAATTGAGCTGAGGTGGTGGTGGGGAATACCTGGAAAGTGCCTGCCAAAAGCCAAAGCTCTGCCATGCCCCCCCCCCAAAAAAAGCAGCAACACGAAACAAAACCCCCCTGTTGGGTCGTTTGGACACATAACCGGATTTTTTAAAAAAGTGGAGCCTACCTCTGTATCATTCATATTTTGCATCTGAGCGGTTTTATAGTTGTTTTTCTTGGGGAGGGCTGTGCATTTGGGAAAGGTACGGGTGCAGTTTTGAGGTGAGCGTGCGTCCTGATTGTCAGCCCTAGACGGGGCGAATCTGCGGGCTCAATTTGTAGGGTTGCAGCCCTAAACACGGAACCTGGACAAGGATTCCATTGGATCCTCTGGAACTTCGGGGCACCCGGCTTTCGACTGGGCGGACCTCACTGTCGGGCTACGGTGCCTGGGACTGCGGCCTCGGGAAGGTTTAACCGAGGTTGATACGAGCAATCACCGCTGGGCTGCGGTCTCCTGCCCTTCTCCGGCCGCGGACTGTCAAAGCCCAGCCAGTCAGCTCCTTCCTGGACGGCGCTTGCTGCTCAGCGCCGAGCGTCGACCCGTACGGGCCGCACCTTTTCTCCTCTTACTCCACCCTGTGGATCTCTGGCGCATCTGCTGCCGCCGGTCCCGGGAAGGACTCACCTGGAGCGGGGTCCTGCCGAAGGAATTCAGAGCGTTGGGGTCGGCGCCGCTGTCCAGCAGCCTTTCCACGGCTCCCGTGTCCCCCCGAGCAGCGGCGTTCGCTAGCAGGTCGTTGTTCCCACAGGGATCCATGGGGACTCCAGCGGCATTTGCGACGGCTGCAGCTCTCGGTCCGGCGGCACTTTCGCTCTCTTCGGTGCGGTGGGCTGCGACCTTTTTACCATCTCCTTCCATCCTTGCCCGCCCTGATCGCGTCCCTCCGCTCCTCCCCGCCCGAGCCCGGTCTCTCTTCCCCGTCGCTCGATCCTCTGGCCGCTGCGCGTCTCGGTGTCCGGGCCTTTCCTCCGCCATTCGCCAGGTCTTCAAGCCTTTCGAAGCGCTCCCCCTAGCGCCCTGCACGGGGCCTTGGTCATGCCCGTGGAGCGACGCTTGGGCGCCTGTAAAAGGCTGGCCGAGGCTGGCTCTGCCCTGTTCCAACATTTTCCTCCCTGGGAGCGCTGCCGCACCGCCGCGCGGACAGCCTCGACTTCTGGACTGGACTTCCGTCTCTCTGTCGGTACCTTAGTTTTGCGTGCCGCCGGTTAAGCAAAAAAGAAAAAAACAAAAACCTTTAAGAAGTGAACTGGTGGACGGGAAGAAGCGAACCGCACCTTCCTCTCTTGAGTTGCTAGTCCAGCCTTCCCTAAGGTGCCCTCCAGACGTTTTGGACTTCAGTTCCCATCGGCCGCAGCCAGCAAGGACAATGGCCAGGAAGCTGGGACTTGCAATCCAAAACATGTGGAACGTGCTGGCTGGTTTGTTATATTTCTAATGCAAAGCCCTGTAAGATTACTCAGAGGCAACTCTGTGCCTCCTCACCCGTGCAGCCCGAACTAGTACAGTCCAGAAACTTGCTAACACAGTCTCCCCTGTCCTGTGGAAGAAGTGTTTATTTGCATTACTCTGCGAAGGGAGACAGCATCCTCTTGCAGCCTCCTGCAGCCAAGTGAGGAGAAGCCCCAGTGTTGCCAGAGATCTTGACTGCTGGATCTGAAGCTGCCTTGGTTTGGATGCAAGGGACTGCTTGCACTTGTAATGGGGAAAATGGCATTGGAATGGGAATGGGGGAAGCACACAGCACCCAGAAAACACCAAGCAGTTGTTGGTTGAGGGAAAGGAGGTTGGGCTAAGGCAGTGATGGCAAACCTTTTAGAGACCGAGTGCCCAAACTGCAACCCAAAACCCACCTGTTTATTGCAAAGTGCTAACACTGCAATAAAACCTGAATACTGAAGTTTTAGTATAAAAAAACTCATACATTAACATCTTTTGTCTTAAAAGAAAAACACAATAACAGAGCTTTCAATGATACAAACAGCTTTTTATTGAAAGGTAAAAGTTTGCATTTGGCGTGCTTTTGCACAATTAATGTGATCTTTGCTGTTGTATGCATGCTGGTTTCACTGACCACCAGCTTTTGGCCTGCTCTGAAAAAGGCATCTGAGTGCATTTCCTACCATGTGGGGGCTTCTGCTAAAATCACAGCCAGTCCAAGCAAATATATATATCCTTGCTCTTGTTTTACTAAATTCTTCACAAACAACTAAATATAATACTGCAGATTCAAATATGCCAGGGGGACAGCACAACATTAAAAGAATCTCTGTCTCTTAATTAGAACATCTCTTTGCTAAAGCTTAGGTATTACATTTCAATTTTTCACAGGAAAACTCAAAGCTAAAATCTTGTGTTAATAAAAATGAATGTATTAAAATTCACAGCCAGTCCAAGCAAATACAGTGGTACCTCTGCTCACGAATGCCTCAGTTCAGAACAGAAATTTCTGAAAAATTTTGCCTCAGGTCACAAACTCTGCATCGGGTGATGATCACGCCTGTCTTCCCCCCAGTGCGCCTGCGATCACCCGTCTATGGATCACGGTTGTGCTCATGCAGGGATGATGGGCGCAGTCACAGTTGTGCTGGGGGGTGGGGGAGATGGTTGCGCTCCTGCTCGGGCTGTGGGGAGATGGCCGTGACCTTTGTTCTTTGTCACTTTGCATCAAATTTTTGTGGTTAAAAAAATAGTTACAGAATTGATTAACCTTATTTACATTATTTACTACCTTATTTGGGCAGTTTATGAGGAAGTTTGACTTGGCTCACGACCAATTTGGGTCATGACCAGAGTCCTGGAACGGATTAAGTTTGTGAGCCAAGGTACCACTGTATATGGATATACTTGGCAGCACACTGACCAGCCATGTGAAAGCTCGGACGAGTCGCATCTCGTGACGTCATTGCCAGGCACCGCTACTCCTTTCCAAGCATGCACATGGCCCCTATGTGTGCTGTTATACGATGCTCGGCTGCTGGGGTGATGCTGGGGCGACTTGGCTCCATGCCGACAGAGGGGGTTCTGCGTGCCTGCTGTGGCATGTGTGCCATAGGTTTGCCACCACTGGGCTAAGGGATGGGGTCATGGCCTCCTGGAGAATCCTAGAGGGTTGCAGAAGAAAAGACTGTCAAAAGTAATGTGGGCTAGCAAGCAAGCAATCAGCCTGCCATGATTTATTCTCAGCAAGGCTCGTGGTGATGTGTGAACAAGCCCACTGGAGAATAGAGTAGGGGACCACCCTGCTTTTCTCTGCTAGATCTTTCTACAAGCTGCCATGAGTAGATGGAGGAGTTGGGCCTCATCTGTTTCGTGCTGCCTACTCAATGAGGAGGAAGTAGAGCACCTAGAAGTACACAAGGCCCACATTGCCTTTGTAATTTTTCCCATGAAGGCCACGCCCCAAAGTTTCAACATCCCATTGCATGAGGATGGTTGTTGCTGAGTCCTACATTTCAGTGCTAGGTCCCTGAGCATGACTACCCCCATGAAAGTAAGAATTCCCCGTGCCTGAGAGCTGTGCTCCCTGCTTCACAAGCAGTGAACCAACCAAGTTCAAGTTTCCCAGGAGACAAGGCTAGAGTCTTGTCTATTTCATCCCAGGCACTGCCTCCGTGTTACCTAGACAAGTCCAGGCTTGCCCTGCTGTTTGTCCTCCAAACAGGGAACCATCTCAAGGACAAGTCCAAGCTTGCCCTGCCGTGTATCACGTGACACAAAATGATGTCAATGCCTTGCAGTCAGGACTTTAATAAATATGCAGCGGAGTCTTTGGTTAGGGATCTTCACTCAGGCTTGGGTGGGGAGCCTTTTTTGTCTTGCATGGTGGAGGTGGCGGCCTGGGGGAGGGAATCTGACCAGGGCTGCCTACAGCAGCGAGCAGGGCAGTAGAAAACCCAAAGTGGGAGGGCTCACCAGTTTTTTCTCCTGCTGCTGCTTTCCCTTATTGCTCTGTTCGTACCACTCCAGCTCTCTCCCTGCCCAGCTATTGAGGTAAGGGGCAGCTCCCAGTTGTACCAGAGCAGAATGGGTGTTGCTGCTGGAACTTTTTTTCTTCTTCAAAATAAAAGCAAGTAGTTTAAGCCTCTCTCTCTCTCTCTCTCCCTCCCTCCCTCTCTCTCTCTCTCTCTCTCTCATACTGTTTTTCATTCTTTCTTTTGTGGGGGATGAAATAATTTGGTCTTAAAGGACTTTACAAAGTGAGCCATGGCGGTGTTAAAGTGAGTAAGCACACTGCAGAAGAGAAGAATCTAACACTTTTGTTTGGGAGAGGAAAGGATGAAGCCAGTAGGAGATTACTTGGATATGAGATGAGCCCAGGTCATGCCTGGGAGCTCTGGAAGAAAGCTGTCATCACCCATGGTTCTCAGCAGGGAGCACTGAGGGAGAAGATGGTGGGAAAGGGAGCTGTTCTACCAGCCTGTATATTTATTTATTTAACTTCTATACTGCACAATAGCCAAAGGTCTTTGGGCAGTTTACAGGACCCATTCAAAATACAGTATAAAAATACATCACAAGATAAAACAAAATTAAACATCATCATGCAAAATTTAAAACCAAATTTAGAACACACATAAAAATTCCAGTAACTTAAGGTAAATTGTGGGACCTGATTAAGCAATTTACTAAGCCCTAGTAAACTAATTAAATGCCCTGGGGTAGAAGACAGTTTTAACCTGGCATCAGAAAAATAGACCAGTGCCAGGCAGCCTCAGTTGAGGAGCTTGTTCCATAACTGGGGGGCCACCACTGAAGAGGTCCCTCTCCTTGTTGCCAGCAACTGAGCCAGAGGCAGCGGTTGGAGGCAGACCCCGAACTTGATTGTAACGTCCATGTAGATGGTGGTCGGGTTTTACTTCCTCCATCTTTCCTCCCCTTTCCTTTCTTCTTGTGTGTCTTTTTAGATTGCAAGTCCTCAGGCAGGAGACTTCTGCTATACTGAGTATAAGTCAGCCACCTTTGGAGCCTTTGTATCTGAGTAGCAGGATAAAAATACTCCAGAGGTGCAGTCGTATGGATGATGTCCACATGAGATGAAAGCCTCTAAACTTGGAGGGTTCTGTGTATCCCACGCCCTTGTAGGCTGAGGATGGAAGAGGTGTGGGAGGAGTGGCAGAGGTGATCTTTACCTGTTTACCTGCAATTGGTGTTCTCTCTCTTTTGTTTTTGTCTTTGTTTTGGTAAAATGGGCTATTTTGCCTGTCCAGCAATGCTGCTTCAGAGGTGGAGGAAAAGGGTCTGGAAGGAGGTCAGGGTAGCCATATCCTGGCTTCCTCCTCCTTGCCCACTGGAACAAGCCCCTTTCTGTATAGAATTTTAATCACCACAAACGAACAGTCCGGCTCTGCCTTGTAGATACTGTACCATCCCCCTTGGGCTGTGAGTTGAATCACCAGCTGGTGATTAGTATGATGATGTCCTTCCTGCCTTCCTGGAACAACCTTAGGCAGAGGAGATCTCCCTGCTCCGTTCTGAGACTGGAGGCAGTGGGCCAGCCTTGAAGCTGAGAACTAGAGCTCTGACTGACCAGCTGCACCTCCTTGCAGCTGGATTGGACTAGAAAGAACAGAGCCGTCTGACTTCTGAGGCCAAGAAAATTATTTATTTAAAACATTTTTACCCCTTCCTTCCCGATAAAATGTTTCAGGGTGGCTTACAATAATTAAAAATAGTAATAAGAATAAAATTATAGTCAACAACAATACAGTGGTACCTTGGTTCATGAACTTAATCCGTTCCAGGACTCTGATTGTGACCCAAATTGGTTGTGAGCCAAGTTAAATTTCCCTATAAGGTTCAATGTAAATAAGGTTAA